TTTGGTCTGTTTGTTGCCTGACGCCTCACAGTAATACTCCTGCCATGCGACGACAGTCTGTTAAACAGATGCCAAGTACCGTACAGACCGTGAACTTGATGTCTTTGTCCTGTACGATGTCGCAGTGGGAGTTATACCGATTGTCTAAACCAATGTTGAATGTTCTGTAGACGTGTGTCAACCAAAGTTGAATGTTTCGTTGACGTGTGTCAACCAATGTTGAATGTTCCGTTCGTGTGTGTAAAAAGATGTTCAATGCTCTGTTGATGTGTGTAACCAATTTTGAATGTTCCGTTGGTGTGTGTCAACCAATGCTGAATTGTCTGTTGACGTGTGTCAACCATGTTGAATGTTCTGTTGACGTGTGTGTCAACCAATGTTGAATGTTCTGTTGGTGTGTGTCAACCAATGTTGAATGTTCCGTTAGTGTGTGTAAAAAGATGTTCAACCAATGTTGAATGTTCCGTTCGTGTGTGTAAAAAGATGTTCAATGCTCTGTTTATGTGTGTAACCAATTTTGAATGTTCTGTTGGTGTGTGTGTCAACCAATGTTGAATGATCTGTTGACGTGCGTCAACCAATGTTGAATGCTCTGTTGACGTGTGTCAACCAATGGTGAATGTTCTGTTGACGTGTGTCAACCAATGTTAAATGTTCTGTTGGTGTGTGTCAACCAGTGTTGAACGTTCTGTTGGTGTGTGTCAACCTATGTTGAACGTTCTGTCGGTGTGTGTCGACCAATGTTGGATGTTCTGCATCCGCTCAGATAAAGTGGTTTCAGTCTAGTTTGCTCGGCAGACTGTTTCAGATTACAATACCTTGGATGACAGGGGTAAAGAGACTTGCGCCGCGCATGCTTACTTATATTTTACCTTCGCTTCACACAATTACTTTGCCATAACGGGTGGAAACATTATACCGCGATATCAATCAGAGCCAACATAAAACCTTCATTAGCAACGCAGACAGGTCCTATTAGGATACACATACTCTCCTGACTTCACCGACTAGTTCTGACACCAACAACTTGACATTACAAAAAGTACTGTCGGAAATGCTGGACATTTTTTTCTGGCTTCATTTAATAAAGACGACCACAGGTCTATGAAAATAGCACAACAAAATAATCTAGCCTATCCTAAATGACACTGTGATTAGCCCCAAAAAGTACTTCTAAAAGAAAAAAGATAAACTTAGAAACTATTTGTGTGTTGCTATGCATGTATGGAACCGCCTATCACCTGTCCCGAGGTGGTGACCTCACACTGTCCCTGCATGGCCACAAGTGCAAAAAACAGCTGAGTTGGGGGTGGTCTCAAAACATTGCTAGTATTGTGCATTTTTTAGATATGCGTTGACGATGAAGATATGTACTGCATTCCCTTTACTTCAATGATGGAATAGTTTAAAGCTATGAACCGGTATGGGTATTGAGGTTGGGGATTTTGAATCAAGAAGTATTTGTTGTTCTACAGATGATTTCTTCAGCCGGCATCTGACTCGGCTGATGACGTTTCTGAATCTGTACTTTCACCCAAAGGTATGATAAATGTGCATCAAGGCTGATATATGCGCCGTCAGGTTGGCGGTACTGACGCTCTATTTCAACAACGTATTCTTTTAGCCTTCTGTCATAGCTCTGGTGTGATTCTAGCAAAGGCTGCGTTGATCAACCCTTTGACATGTGTGAGTTTGAATGTTTTGTTATGTCTTGCCACGAAACCTTTACAGTTAGCCGAGATAATCTCAATCGGGTTGTGCTCACAATGTCTCACTGGCGAACGAAATACGTCGTTACCGTGTTCTGCTGCCGAGACATCTGTTTCTTATTCAGACGAATTTTCTCCATGAGTTGAACTTTCCTTTCAGTTCGTCTGAAGTCGACATTGCAAGATGTCAGCTATTCCTACATGGTTTCCTTCAGACTACTCATGGTTGGCGCGACAGTATCTGGTTCCCGGACGTTATGATAACTAGCGTTATTCATGAAAATGATACTGGGATTGTTTGGATTGGACAGTAGCTGATGTTGTAACCAGTCTATGAAAACATCACCATTCATTTATGATAATCACCAGTTTTCCTTTTCGTCTCAAACACTAGGTCACATCCATCGATAAGCCCCATATCACGGGTTCCGGCGTGCAAAACAATGACACGATTACCTTTACCTGATGGTAGCATGGGTGCCTTTCGTCCCTCTGGTGGTAGCAACATGAAGTCAGTGGAATGATTATTATTCACCCAGGTTTCATCAAGGTAAATGATCTAGAAACCCTGACTGCGATAGTCATGAATGGTGCGGAGATGATGTGACCTCATGGACAGGATGGATTAGTTTCCTCTGAAAACTGCTCGGTCATCGCCACGTGCAGTGTGTCGAAATCCAAATCAGAGAAAACAATAATGTAGTCAGGGAAAGTGAACTTCTAAGTTCCTCCCCTATTCTGCTTACAAGGCGGGGGTACCTTCTGCTCATAAAGCTTGTACACTATACGCCTGATCGCCCTTTATGAAAGCTATCTGATATCCCTTTACGTCCTGGGTTTGATTTTGAGACCCCTGCCTTCTTTGTTTAAGTTATCATACCGTAGACTTGTTGGTATTAAAGCTCCAAAGCTTGGTCAGTTCGACAATACACCCTGTCTAAATTAATATATGGTTCCCTCAATCTCTCTCAATTGTACAGAACTTTCCTTGTACAGACTCCACGTCGCATATTTCTCTAGTCCAATTCATAATTCCTTCATTTGAACTTAATGTTTTCGTTCGAATTCTTCTCCTGTAAATTGTCGATTGGACTTGTGACTGAAATACTTCAAACCACATATAGGTAGATCGGTAGTTACTCGATATGTCGATGGCAACGGTCTGTGAACCTTTGTATCTTGTATAACGAGCGTTATTTTAGCATTTCCAAAAGTCCTTTAATCCGTCCTGGCATCACCAACTAATTCTGACATCACCAACTTGTCCTGGCATCACCAAATAATTCTGACATCACCAACATGTCCTGGCATCACCAACTTGTCCTGACATCACCAACTTGTACTGACATCATCAACTTGTCCTGGCATCACCAACTTGTCCTGACATCACCCACTTGTACTGACATCACCCACTTGTACTGACGTCACCAACTTGTCCTTGCATCACCAACTTTTCCTGGCATCACCAACTTGTCCTGACATCATTAACTTGTCCTGACATCACCAACTTGTCCTGGCATCATTAACTTGTCCTGGCATCACCAACTTGTCCTGGCATCACCATCTTTTCCTGGCATCATTAACTTTTCCTGGCATCATTAACTTGTCCTGACATCATTAACTTGTCCTGACATCACCAACTTGTCCTGGCATCACCAACTTGTCCTGGCATCACCAACTTGTCCTGGCATCACCAACTAATTCTGACTAATTCTAATTAGCCAATAGTTGTCAAAGAAATGTTCTTACATTAATGCGCCATCTACACGTCTAATATTCTGCATGGTGAATCAAAAATATATTCTGTTGGTGTCCAACACTTCCACACACTGGTCACTTCCAAAAACTCGTCACTGTGAGACACTTCCGAGTGCCAACGAGTCCACAGCATTCGCCAACACTCGCCATCTCCGTAACCAACGAATAGACTCGACGTGTGATAAGAGTGATTATGAATGACGCAGCGATACATGATGACTCTCCCCTTGCAACAGATGACACGAGTACTGGTAACGAATGGCACCAATTGTCTAGCCCCCTCGATGATCATTGTATGTGACGATTACAACTGGTCCGACAATATATGTTTATATATTATAGACCGCCTCCGCGATCTAGTGGATGAATGTCCGGAGAGGTCGTAGATCGCGACCAAAAGACCTTAAAAGAAGGATAAACAGGGACTGGTCGTTCCAGAGTCAGTAAACTCCCTGGTGGGTATCCATGTTAAAATGCGTCCTGGTATCCCAATGGGCTAGCATTATAAAACCAGTAAAACTAGTACAAGCACCCACACGCACACACAAGGGTAATAATTTCTAAGGCAATGTTACACCTCATTTCACACCACCTTGTATTATATATTTTACATGTATTGGTGCTACTAAACATCGAGATGAAACGGATAAATAGATTGGTGCTACCTCTACATAGACTCACATAACCATAGTAGGTGGTGAGAGACAGAGAGAAAGGAGACGGAAAGAGAAAGATAAGGGGGCAATGGTTAAAGAAGACATATAAAGAAGACAGTCTCCGCCGAATATAACTCCCCATAAATAACTAGACGGAGGTGTGTACAATGTCAAGGGGTAATACACACAGAGTGTTTATGTGTGAGAGACAGAGTAAGAGAGGGAGGGAGGGAAATAGATAGAGAAACAGAGAGAGGGGGGTAAAGACATACAGAAAGAGAGAGGGGGAAGAGAAAGAGAGAGGGAGGAAAACTGATAGGTATGCGACAATAGACTCATTCGACAAGAGAGAGTACTCAAGATAGACGAGTGCCCTTAGAACGAGATGCTACAAAGTCAAACACACACATAGTGTGAGGCAGTTTTACACATGTACTAATAACCCTTGATTCTCAACTACCTAAGCATATGCACCTACTGAAACTATTAAAAGCACTATCCGTGAAAACAACATCCCACAATACACTGCCGGGCAAGAGAAAATTTAAAATTGAATTATCAAAACATTACCAGGCTGAAAACAGTCGCTTAAACACTGCAAAAATAAGGTCCAAAACACAAATATGATATCAAATACATCACCTTTGAGTAACCATTTCTTGTTTGTTTTATTTTACCCACCATAAGGCAAAGCTTAAATACTTTCTTCTGGTCGGCAGTTTATGAAACAATCAAACAGTTGGCTGAGGAATAAAACACAGCAGAAAAGACGCCCCGACAGTTCACCTGAATGTAAGCTTGTTCTACAGGTACATTCACAGCAGAGATATAGAAACGGAAGCAGAGAGAGAAAGAGAGTAGGACTTTCCCAACTCACCCCCTGCGCTTGGGAACATAAGTAATTTCACCACGGCTGCATCGATACTTGTCCTTTGTGTCCTCGATGTCAAAGTCCTCCAGCAGCTTCATGACAACCTCCTCGTGCTTTTGTTTAGTCAGGTCCGAGTACTCTCGTTGTAGTTCCGGCCTTTGTTGTCTCCCCTTGTGACCTCTAGGAGAGTCACTGTTCATATCTGCCGTTGAGATAAACAACTTAACGTCATCGTCTGAAGGCCTTAGACCGCGTCGAGAATATCGCAACATCGTTGTTACTCTTCAGTCGGTACCTCTTTACACTATAGTCTTTTAAAATCAGTTGATCAACAAGTTGCCCACAGCAGAATTAAGTGATGTGGGTCTTGCTACCCGCGGTATTTATAGATCGCCCTTGAACACGATCTTAAACCATGATGTCGCTTTACAAAATAGCAGAACTACCTTGATTCTACTTTCAAAACCATCGCCTTTAGTTGAAGTATTATGGTTTCCTTTTAAGACATAAGATGCTAATGCGTGACATAAAGAACAAGAAAACAAATAAAATACTGCAGCCGTTAATGGGAACCTATCATTCGACGTCAATACTGGACTTCCTATTCTTTGTACTTAGATGTTGCACTCAGTGTCCAGGCGTTCATACGTGACGCTGTTTTCACAACCAACACTGTCAGAAACTATCATATCATAGTGAGTCGTTGAACTGAACTGAGACACCGGTCTGTTCCATGGGTGATTATCAAGATCCATTTTAAGCATAACTACCATTGTCAATTATCCAGGATTCGTCTTGCAGAACTCAAACACATGGTCTATCATCACGCGCCTTAAATCAATTCGAAATCATTGTTCTTCCGAACTAGGTCAGAGAAACCAGGATATCTATACCATGGAATCTATTTCACATAATGTATATCACAGAGTCTACATCACATACAAGCATCCTTCACTGCCCGAGCCAATAACTGATGAAAGAACTTTAAGAACATTTCAAGTTTACACTTAATGGACCCATCCTACGTGGCGTACCTTAGCAACTAACTCCGCGTACCTAGTAACCGTGTGTGAATCTGGTTGAGCAGGTGCTTTAGATAGGTTGCGGTAATTGGGCGGACATTTGATCAGTGTGGGGGATATATGTGTTTCAATTTCTAATAACATTCGCGGACGTGTGTTCCAGAATAGGTCAATCTGTTCCGCTTGCGTGCTCACCTGATTCAGATAAAATGTAATTGCTTGTCGGACTCTGTTTCGACAAGCCAGGCAATTAGGCTGGTTGGAACCTATTGTAGCGAGGACTCCATTGATTACCTTGCTGAGCTCGCATAATGTAACCTTAATGTAACTATACTATGCAACACGCCATCTTGTAACCATTCTTGCTATAATAGTGTACATTGATCGCCATGTTAGGTCCGGGTAGTTTAACCTGACAGTCTCCCTAACGATTACGCTCTGGAAAACCATGCTGCAGACATAAATTATTAAACGGACTTGTTAGATATCAACAGCAGCAATGTGAGACAGCTACACAGGACAAAAAGGACAAAAAGCGAGTGTGTGAGTGAGTGAGTTGGGTTTAACATTGCTTTGAACAGTATTACAGTTATATCACAGGGTGCCAGCTTAATGTTTGAGTAAAGCCCGCGATGATGCAGGTCTCAGGCGATCACCACTTTGGTGAAACCCACGAGCACGGGTATGGTACTGACAAACCTAGAAACTTATTCGGGGCGAACCGGGATTCAAACCCACAATCATAGGTTTCTGGCGTGCCCAAGGGACGCAACTCTGCACAGCGAATTGCGGCGCCTTAGATGACAGGGCCACCCGTACCCCCAAAATAACTAACAGTTTGTATTCTACTTTTAATTGCTCACAGCAGCAACCAATCGCAATGACCGAAATATCAAAATTGTCTTTATTTAAGTTGAACGGTGTATTTTGTTCAATAAAACTACAAAAATACCCATATACTTTCTTTTAGACATTTTTTCGATCTTGTGTTTAAGCAAAAAACTTGATAATAATTGTATATAGTGGCACCTCGTTAAGTCGGTTTATTTCGGTTTAATAATCTTCCCATACGTGCGGATGTTCCAAATAGTGATTGGCCGGAAAGTGAGGTGTCCGGACTAGCAGGGTGATGGTGGGCAGCATGATGAACCCGTGATATAAAAGAAGTAGTTTATCTCTTGTGCAACACTGAATACAATCATCCAATCAAATACGGGTGAATTTACAAACAAAAAAACACAATATATTTAAATGGTAATTTGGGTAACATGATGCTATCATTGACGCAGAGTGATCTGTTTCCACGGGATTCCAAAGGGAAACAGTTCTTTCAGCCATGGGCAATGTCAGTCCAGATCATGAGATATCATTACTGTCAATATTATTCAATTAACTCCACAGATGATAGATTTTGTCTATTTTAGCACACGTAACACAACACACTTCTCACCTCCACGCAAGGACTATTATTGCGAATGCTCTTTCACGTTAGAAGATAGGTAATCACATTATCCTAACACAGTTATCTCCCTTTACACAAATCAATATGGCCAACAATTACGTTTTATGAACCATGAACATAATTGCATTTGCATGTAATTGTTAGCAATTGTTATAAACGAGAGCTTTATGTTTTGCTTCAGTAGTTTTCTTCTAAAGATCCATTTCGACAAACAAAGCAACATACTGTCAACCTCATGGGACTACAAAATGAAGTACATGACAAGTTTATGTATCGACTATTTGATTGCCTCCCCTTTAACGACCTTTTGTGTCTAAATGATTCTGAATTAGCGACGAGACCACCTCTCTAGATTCTGTTATTCTAATCTGTACTTTTACACTGGCGAAGGTGTTGACTCGTCCATTGCATGGTCCAAAGTTTGTTTGTTGGCTAACGCGCTCAACAATATTCCAACTATATGACGTCGGTCTGTAAATAATTGAGCCTGGACCAGACAATTCAGTGATTGGCATCATAAGCATCGATCCACGCAATTTGGATACGATGACATGCATCAACCAAGTCAGCGAACCTGACCACCGATCCCGTTAGTCGCCTAAAACGACGAGTCGCCTTTTACGGCAAGCATGGGTTGCTGAGGACCTATTCTACCCCGGATCTTCACGGGTCAAATAAGCCAAAGACGGACTTTGCACCACGGCGCCTATTGCCAGTGTGGGCCTGGGCGTTGTCTTTAGCGCCATGTGTCAAACCGAGGCAGTAGATATTTGTAGTTAGGGTTATCATTGTCACCTAGACTGATACACGTCATAAATTGGGAATTGGCAGACAATCCAATTCTCAGTCTCTTTGACTAAAATCATAAAGCTTGCTGTCATTTGGGGTTAAGTAACTGACAAACAAAATGACTGCAAATTAGTCGAGTGAGTCACTGTGTATATTGTTTTGCGCCGCTTTTAGCAATATTCTAGCAATATCATGGCGGGGTCACCAGAATTAGGCTTCACTATGGTACCCATGTAGGGAATCGAACAAGGACCCCCGACGAAACGAGAGGACGCATTAACTACCAGGCGGCGTCTCCGCTAATTATTCGAATTTGGTTATTGTATGATACCCTAGTAGATAATGTAGCCAATCAGAAACATTAATTTCAATAGAATGTAACACTTCGAGTGACACACTGCGGTATTGAGTGGACTATTGATATTAAATATGTAAACTGTGCATATGTTAATGAAACAGTAAGCATTATTGTATTCAAAACGGATACCTTTCAACGTGGATTCCAACGTCTGTTCCCCATGTTAAATGTTTTACAGTGTGTTTGAGCTGACGTTATCAACATCTGCACTGAAAGGGGCTGGTTCAAAGACTTGCTAATGTTACATATACATAAAATTCTTCCTGAACACCTCTAAAGTCAGCCTTTCGTTGTAATAAGTCCAAAACATGCTTGTTTAAATTGAAAAAAGTTTTCATTCATATGAACCGACCTGATAATTTGCATAACAATTCCTAAATGTTTTGCTCATTTCTTAAATTATGCACATCCTTCACAGAGTCAAAGAGTGCCCTTATGCCACCTCATCCGTTCCATTTCAAAACAAAAAGGGGGCAGTGGTTAGCCTAGTGGTTAAAGCGTTCGGTCGTCTCACCGAAGACCCGGGTTCGACACATGGGTACAATCTTCTGGTGTAGCCCGGCGTGATATTGCTGGAGTATTGCTAAAAGTGGCGAATAACATACTCACTCACTTCACTCTAAAACCGCTTCACGTTATTTTAGCAATGCCCTTATAAGTCAAAAGACATAACATTTAAACTCACTCACTCACTCTGTTCCCGTAAAGATACATACACGCGTTCTTATAGCGAGGTCAATTACCCCACCCCTTATATATATAACATAACGTTGACATGCAGTCGTACCACGGTTTTATGGTGAATATTTATTGTGCCAAACCGTGGGTTCCTAGGAGGAGGGCTCTTTAGACAATAGGGTTTGTTTAAGGGGAGGTAACCAGTATTCTTCACTATATATGCCTATTGTTTCACAAATGTTTACGTTTCAAATGTTCGTCAGGACTACCTAGTTTCAACTTGGCTTCAACCAAGTAAATATTCTCCATATTGGGTTTTTACATTTTACCAATAATTATGAGCACGTAAGGTAAAGAAATGGCTTTGTGTTCTCTAAATAGGAACACTTGAAATTTTGTTTCCAAAACATGTTGGGCGCTTACGTCGAATACTGTAGTTGATATCGCATTGACGTCACAAACATAAGTGAAGAAAGAGAGGCATTATTTACACTCGGGACCAGTCGGCGTATTCCGTCAGCTACGTGCTTCCTCGTGCGACAATAGAGTAATGCTATTCCTGATGTATATTTATATTAGACCTTGCCTTGTTCGTGTAGCACGAGGTTGCCTCTGTGGTCTTGTGGTAGAGCGTCCGCCCGGGGAGCGTAAGGTACTGGGTTCAGTCCCCGGCCGCGTCATACCAAATGACAATAAAAGGATTTAGTATACTGTGTCTGAGTTGGGTATTCATGTTAAACCCCCCCCCCCCCCCCCCCCACACACACACACACACACACACACACACACACATACACACACGTCGCGATATAAGTGCAATGATCTTGAACGCGACGTTAAGCCCCTTTTCATCTCACCTCACCTCACCTCACCTCACCTCACCCCACCCTGTGTAGCACGATGCACGAGTTTAAAACAGTTTATAGTTTGTGTACACTTTGATTTGGATAATGAAACCATATAATACAAATACTTTCAAAACTTACATCATGTTCACCTCTGCTGGTAGGTTAGGTTCTGTCACGCCGAAATGACCCTTGGGGTGATCCGCATGACACCGAGACTGGTCATTTACCATGAGAGTGGGTGATTAGTCTTTGGACTGTATCATATTTTGCTGATCCCCAACTTTTAGTAACATTTTTGTCAGCCACCCCCCCCCCCCCCCCCCCCCCAAATACATGTAACATGCCCCCATCCCCTCCCCTACCCCATTCCCACCCTCTACTATAATAAATAAACAGTTCTTAAATCAAGTTAAAATTGATATTTACATGTATATTATTGATCAATAAAATAGAACTATGTTATTTTTTATGCCCCCTTCACCCCAACCATAGTTTTTGCACCCCCATCCCCCCTTTCGCGGTGTCACTTATTTATGAACAACCCTCCCCTCCCCCCTCCCTCAACCCATCCCACTACTTTAATCTCACCGGCACACCCCCACCCACCCCAATAATATATTACCAGATCCTAACGTGACTTTGAAGAACTTCATGCGCAATTTACAGGAAAATGAATTCAAACATGCGTAGTATCATATTTTGTTGTTCACCTGACTGAGTGAAATACCAACCCAAACCAAAAGGACAGCACACGTATTCCTCCTTCATATTACTAATAATGTCCCTAAACATGAGATCGCAGTGTGTATATATGCTTCTCTGATTTGCTCATTAACTTTAGAACATTATCATTACTATTTGTCATCAAATATCTCCTTACTGTTTTAATAACTGCAGAATTTGGACGTCTTTTTTAACAATTAACCAGTCATAACATAACATATGACTAACGATAATCTTGCCTACGTATTTACGCCATTGAATTGATGTATGGTAATTCTCTGAGTAGTCAGATTAAAGGGTTTGCACCCCCGTGTTTATTGCATTTTGAGAGTGAATCAGTTGATTTTATGCGTCTTTCAACATTATGTCAGATACATCACAGCATGCAGGACAGTAAACATGCAAGGGAAACTACTTGGTGGTACATGAAGTAGAAATATGTACGACTTTGTTGAGGCTTGGTGAAATGGTTTCCAAAGTCGCGTACAAGATTATTGCACATATATAGCCAGGTGTGTGTGCTTGTGTTTGCGTGTGGCTGCTTGTACTCATTTTATCGAGTTTATAGTGCTAGCCCACTGAGATACCATGCCGCAGTTTCACAAGGTTACCCACCCCACTCAGACACAGTATACTGACTGAGCCGACGAGTCCTTGTTTTATCCCCTTATTGCCGAGCTTCAGGCAGGGAAACAACAAGTACCATCTTTGAACGTCTTTGGTATGACGCGACCGGGATTCGAACCTACGGCCTCTCCGGGCAGACGCTGCTCTCTTGGATGAAAGCCATAGGCATGGGTACTTTGCTGACAATCCAAGAGGCGTGGCGTAAAGCAACAAACTAACAGAACAAACTAATCTGGGATGCGAATCCACTGACAGCATATCCTGACACGATTAAAGGACGTTACTCTGCACAGCAAGCTCACGCCTTACACGAGTGGATCACTTTCACTCCTTTGAAATGCAAAATTGATGTAAGATTGTTTTAAACGCCAGTCTACCCCCAAACTTGCCTATGATGGAACGTAAACGACATCTGTGGGTGAGTGAGTGTGGTTTTACACCGCTTTTAGCAATATTCAAATAATAACACGACACAAGAAATAGGCTTCACACATATGGGGGATCGAACCGCCAAACAACATGTGTCATTATGTCAACATATGTTATACAAAAAAAACCCCGTAGAGCTAGACCGATTATGGGCACTAGATCGTTGAGCACAGACCCCTTTATAATTGGAAAACTTCTGCAAGGGCCTTTCACCAATGTCATCGAATGGAGCAGACAGGTGCATCACACCATCTGTATATCTAGGTGTTTCACGTAAGCCTCTAATACCTTCCACATGGCCGGCACGAGCCGAACAGGTCAGCACAGTCTAATCACTTGTTTGTTTACCTATATACTTACACGGGCGCGCAACACAATTACCTAACCGCGATAGGGGGATCCCGCATCTTAAGGACGACTTGATCAATAGGATACTTGACCGCGTGATGACCTCACCTACATCTGTCCACCACAATCTCCTTCCCCCTACCTGCCCACCAAACACCCCATCTGACCACCTGCCCATCAAACACCCCATCTGACAACCTGCCCATCAAACACCTCACCTACCTACCTCCTCATCAAACACCCCATCTGACCACCTGCCCATCAAACACTCACCTACCTACCTTCCCATCAAACACCCCATTTGACCACCTGCCCACCAAACACTCACCTACCTACCTTCCCATCAAACACCCCATCTGACCACCTGCCCATCAAACACTCACCTACCTACCTATCAAATACCCCATCTGACCACCTGCCCATCAAACATCTCACCTACCTACCTTCCCATCAAACACCCCATCTGACCACCTGCCTATCAAACACTCACCTACCTACCTTCCCATCAAACACCCCATCTGACCACCTGCCCATCAAACACTCACCTACCTTCCCATCAAACACCCCATCTGACCACCTGCCCATCAAACACCTCACCTACCTACCTTCCCATCAAACACCCCATCTGACCACCTGCCCATCAAACACTCACCTACCTACCTATCAAATACCCCATCTGACCACCTGCCCATCAAACACCTCACCTACCTACCTTCCCATCAAACACCCCATCTGACCACCTGCCCATCAAACACTCACCTACCTACCTATCAAATACCCCATCTGACCACCTGCCCATCAAACACCTCACCTACCTACCTTCCCATCAAACACCCCATCTGACCACCTGCCCATCAAACACTCACCTACCTACCTATCAAATACCCCATCTGACCACCTGCCCATCAAACACTCACCTACCTTCCCATCAAACACCCAATCTGACCACCTGCCCATCAAACACTCACCTACCTACCTATCAAATACCCCATCTGACCACCTGCCCATCAAACACTCACCTACCTTCCCATCAAACACCCAATCTGACCACCTGCCCAACGCCACCCATCTTCCCATCCCTACACTCCTTCACTACTACCCCCCCCCCCCGCCCAGCTGTCAACTCCATCCTATAACCCATTGCCCTACCCTACCCCCACCCACTATCATCCTACATGTCAACTACCAACCTTCCCTCGCCCATCCCTCCCCATCTGTCAACCCCCTTACCATTGTCCATTACCACATACACACTCACACACACACACACACACACGCACACGCACATACACACACACGGACCCCAACGACCCACCCCTTCCAAAAACAGTTCCTTACCTGTCCACCACCACCTTAAACCCCAACCCCTACACCCGACCCCACCTTCACAGATATAATCACACGCCAATTGACCAACCCATCACCCGAACCAATTACATCCACGTGTTCTCATCCCCACTTCTCCTCCAGTCTCCCTCTTCCTATCTATAATTACCAGCACCGACAGTCTCACGTTTAACATTCATCAGCTCATAATGCTCCTCACAATCTGACATAACCCTGTCAGCACGACACTGGTGAACTTTGGGGCAATGAGCTCAGATCACACCAACTAATCTCATTAAAGGGCATCGAAGACACGATACAGATAATACTAGCGTCCCGGCGACAGCTTACATTGTTATAACTGTTCCTGGATATCTGACATGAAGGCATAGTTCAAGACGCGCATCGATAAGCCCTAGTTACATAACCCATCTTACCAACAACGTGTCTCACGTTGAGATACATACTTTTCAATAGACAAAAATTTAAACAATCGATGACATGTGAATTTAAAATCGAAACTGAATTAATCTTAAGATTGAAATTAATAAATAAATACATACCCGGGCTACTAGAATCGCTTTCCCTGTTGCTCATTGCATCAGTAAAATGCCCATCGTCAAAACAAACCGAGCATTTAGGCAACCGCCAGTCAGGAAGATATATTCATATAATATTTATGACCCCAACAGCCCAAGTGTGACAGTAGGCTTGTGGAATACACCTGAGAACATCTCACAGTCTGTGGTCGACAGTAGGCTTGTAGAATATACACGAGATCATCTCACATATCTTCGAAAGCAAACGGCTCAACTCTATTATTTATTTAACATCGTGTATAAAAATCTCCAAGTCAATGTTCAGCACCTCGCTATAACGCGGTAGTTCCGACAATATACTGGCATATCGCGCGGCATGTTGTTGTAGTACAAGTGAAATGAATTCATTTTCTCCTTTGTGACTTGGACAGAAACTCTGGATATAATCGGGACATATTAAACTCGGGTTTATTGAATTATGATCGTCAAACATAGGTCAAACGTGTAGGCAATCAGGGTCAAACGTTTTGTGGAGGGACGCCCAGGTCAATCTGGCGAGGTGTACCGATCAATACTCCGTGATGACAACGTTGTGGAAAAAAGTGAAGTTTTATTCAACGTCGTTGACGCGACCAGATTTGCATGTTACAACCGCACGCCGGATAAGCAAACGGGCGTAGTTGTTTTGTGTTCCTTTTGAATAATGTCAAGTAGAGTGCACAAATCGTTATAAGTAATAAGATATGTATGTTAAGCGGTAATAGGTGTATTAGCACTATGGGATAATGTTTGTAGCTGCTTGGTTGCTGTCGACAGCACAATGAAGCGGACACATGTATTTGTGCAGATGTATTGCTGTGAATAAGCATACACATTGCATTGAATGCATGTATGGTTCGTCGTTGTGGATGTTGTGTGTCGTCGCTGCCGCAGATGTCAGTGAATACCCCCTTGGATAAAAACCTGTGGGTGGGGCTGGGTTCCATACAAAAACTCTGCATGGCGTTCGGCTTAGACGGGGTCGAGTCTGTTACGACGAGTAAGTTAATGTGGCCTCAAGGTGTTTACAGTTTGGTACTTGGGGTTGGAGAATATCTACAAGTTATTTGGGACCTTGAGACGAGGGAAAAGACCTCCTTAAAATGTAATAAGAAAATGGTTTATACCAATTGGAGTGCCCCGAAACGTCCAGAATAACGTTAAACGTAATTTACCTCCCAAAGTACTCAATATGTGTGCACACGGGACTTTTCTGGATGTATGTGTGTGTGTGTGTGTGTGTGTGTGTGTGTGTGTGTGTGTGTGTGTGTGTGTGTGTGTGTGTGTGTGTGTGTGTGCAACGCACAAATGTAGAAAATGGACACAGAAAAAATGTGCTCCGCCCCAGTAATATCTACTGTACCTACAACGCATCAAGAGCAGTTATGGGCGTTTGTCTTCATCCATTTATCATGACCACTGTCCACATGATCATTGATTCATTCCAGGCTCTAAGGTAATTATCCACATATACAGTACACTACACCATTTGATTTCTTTACTGGAGTGAGTGAGTGTGTGAGTATGGTCTTACGCCGCTTTTAGCAATATTCCAGCAATATCACGGCGGGGGACACCAGAAATGGGCTTCACACGTTGTACCTATATCGGGAATCGAACCCGGGTCTCCGGCATGACGAGCGAACGCTTTAACCACTAGGCTACCCGACCGCCCCTACTTTACTGGACCCTCATATTGCCTGCAAGGACCCTTTAAATTGATTTTGTGGGCCCGCGGACCCCTTCTTTTGTAAGTCAAGGTAAAACCCCGGTAGTAGTGATTCGTGGACTCCTTGGGGTGAATCCCTGGGAGGTTTCAAGGTGCAAAGCTATCACCTGTGACTTGTCCCGGGCCATGCAGCCTGTATTACTTAATGTATATAGTGCATACAGGTGAGGCAGGTAAAATTGGGTTTAACGTCGCGTCCAAGATTAATGCACTTAAATAGCGTGCATCCACGTTTGTGTGTGTGTGTGTGTGTGTGTGTGTGTGTGTGTGTGTGTTTGTGTGGCTGCTTGTGCTAGTCCGGACTGATGCCGATTTATAGTGCTAGCACACTGAGATACCATGCCGCAGTTTAACATGAATACCCCTCTCAGACACAGTATACTGACTCCGGGCCGACCAGACCTTGTTTTAGCCCCTTTATGCCGAGCGCCAGACAGGGTAACAACAAGTACCATCTTTTAACGTCTTTTGGTATGACGCGGCCGGGGATCGAACCTTCCGCTCTCCGGGCGGACGCTCTACCACTAGACCACGGAGGCGGTCTTGTGCATACAGACTATGCATAAGGATAGTGGACGTAAATATCATGCATCTATTTTCACACATACCGTTTCCCACGTTTAGATCATTTAGTATGAGTATGACTTATAACTTTCACAAGTAAAGATTTATTATTTGTCCCACGCTTCAGTTCTCAAGTGATACTCTTTATCAGTTCCGTATTTTTGCAAAATAATTTATGCTTCAGAAATCTGTCCTATAGTGTTATAGTAAGGCCAATGTGGCTTTGGGCTTCGGTCAGGTATATTCCAGCTGTATCAGAATTTCGTGAGTGAATGAGTTGGGCGTCGATTTGTATTCCAGTTAAATCACGGCGTGGCAACTTAATGAGGGAGAAAAGCCCGAAGCGATGCATGTCTCAGACGTGTACCACGTTGTAGAAATCCACGAACAGGGTATGGTTCTGACAAACCATGAAACATAATCGGGGCGAATCGGGATTCGAAGCCACGATCAGACGTTCCTGGCCCGCCCAAGGAACCCAACTCTGCACAACGTATTACGGTGTCCAAAACGACTGGGCCACCCGTTCCCCCATACCATAAATAATATAGTCCGGCCCAAATGAACCGGTGGTCAATATCGCGATTATAACCATGACTAGCGGGTAGGATTACATATAATGAGCCACGTGGAAACCACCCAATCCACATTTATTTCTACTCTTGAGAAAAAATATGATGGCCTTTAAAACTCTCATGCCCCACTCGGCTTTTTCCGAATAGCCCATATAAACATTTCACTGGGAGTCAAGTACCATTGAAGTATACCTCGTTATAACGAGCAATGCGCTCGTAGTCAAAATTGTATTAAAGTGCATGTACTCGTAATAGCCAAGGAGACGACGTTAGCCTATATCGTGGGCTTCGTTTCGCGAGTGGTGCAGTCGTGAAAGCATGTTTTGGGTACGTGCATAATAGTCACTCGCTACCTGCAACAAACATGTATCAAGGACTATTACAACAGGACGCGAAGATAATGCTAGGCCTTGTGTGAAGTGCATTAATTATAAGTTGAGAACAGAGCAGGTGTTCCGAGGTCCGTTCCACAAAGCGAACTTACTACTATGATTGTCCTAAGGCCCATACTTTAACCAAAGACTTTCGGCCGTAGTACTAGGGTCGATTTGTGGCCAGTTCAACAATATATTACACGTATTTCAGTTTGTCAGTATTGGGTTGATGCTGATACATACCGAAGATGAATAAAGACATCACTCGTACTCTCTTCATCTGAAGTTTATTCAATTTAACTTTCAAGAGTTCGTCTTTCGGGAAGCGTCAACTCGTCAATCGAGACTCCGTTTCGCAAAGGGCCATGTTTGTTACGTGACCAGAGTGTATTCCTCCGCTTCCAACAGCGGTCTCGTAGCTTTCAAGAATATATTTTTGAAGTTGATTTTTTTTATATAATCACATCCAAATGTATGATAAAGAATTTTAGTGACCTAAACTATTTTTTATTACTTTTGTTTATATTTTTAATTTCTTTTGCTCGGAACTACTTTTTAAGTCGCAATTACAAAGAGTGGAAAACGTCCCAGCGTGTCAGGTAGCGAGAATTAATGTTTCAAGGTTTTACATTTGTAATGAAAAAAACCCAACAAATTCGGTAGACAAATACACAAAAGGTATAATAAATAGGATATTTCATGTGTCTCGTGAAATATCATGTTTCTCTCTCCGGGCGAAAGGAGATTTTTCACGAGTGGCGTGAAATATCCTCTAGAAATGGCGTCATTTTTTGTTACGTCACATACGTTCAATGACGTTACGCACGACATTAATACATAGTGTATAAGTGATATTGATAATTAATACATTAAAAAATGTCGTCTGTATTTACATTGGTTAAGAAAGGGTCTTTGTCGTGCTGCAATCAAAAGTGGTATTACCCTGCGTGATTAAGCCAATGAACTCCACGGAGATAAATATTTTCAACCAATCAGCGAGAGCCTAATATAACGCCAAGCTTGTTGTAAAGCAGCATATCCATGGTAAACAATATAGCTGCGCGTTTCGCTGTCATTTGCGAAAACGAAAAAAAGAAGGAATTCTCAACTCCAATTGAAATATTGCTGTTTTTATATTATGAAATAATACAATTAGTGACAATTAGTGATTCGTGCTGGCCTCGGTCTATGCCAGTTTCTAACGCTTATAAAACATAACCCTATATGGGCCTCATATAAATGGTCAATAATTGACAAAAATAGGCCCATATACCTCACTCACTCTCATACACATGCCATGTATAAATGATGGACCCGTCACAGCGACGCCGTTCCCTTGGGAGAATCACGGCTTGACTTGCGTCTCAGAACTTCCACCATACTGTTTTATCTATGACTATTTCATCGATATGTCTTGTGAAGAAATGTCAGATATATGCCACATAGGTCATGATATTTCAACACAGCCATTCCCATCACAGATAGCAGACAAGGATAGAGCTCGTATTGGTAAGCAGTAATTGGCGAGTTTTTAACGCCGTGTGGAGCCTTTATTTTACCCAGGGTCCGATGGTCAAACTGGCCAACTTCATTAATCGTCCTACGCATCCCACCCACCTGTAAGAGAAACTGTCTACGTTATTTCTTATGGCAGATGAAACGCGTTAATGCGAGGGGGTATTGATGCATGGGAATACTGATCAAACGTTGCTACCCTCAGTTTCGTGTTATAGCGAGGTAAATCGATTCTGGCATTTCCTATGTTTTCGATGACAAGATATAACTCACGGAAGGACCACGTCTATTGTCAACACGATGAAAAGAATATATGGATGTTTCGCACGACTGCAGAGTTACCGTGACCGTTTCATAAACATTAACGATTTGTGGTTTCAGGATATTAAAAAGGCCTAAATGAAAAAAATCTTTAAAGCGATGCAATAAAAAAATTCTTACTAGACATTATGTCGTAAATGTTAACGAAAGGTCGTGTTATAACGATGACACCCACAAAGCTAATGTGACGTAAAGAGTGAGTGA